GGAGGCATTTGTTTTACTAATCAATCTTATCTAGACAATGAGGTATTTGTTTATTGGATTTATATTAATTTGATATTTTAATAAGCTCTTTTCCCTGCTTTTTCTTAGCCGGAGATGTGTGAACTGGAAAGACCCTTGCAAGAAGCCCTGTCGGATGATACGAGTATTTTCAGTTGTATAGTTTAAACTCATTTAAGGTCTCCTTATAGTGCTGCTGGTGCTTTCACCAAGAACCTTCTTCGTTTTGTTTCCCTTCAGTGTACTTACATTCTTCATACTTGGGAGGATGAATAGTGCTGGCATTCATTGATTGGAAAGTGCATAACTTGGTTTTTTGAATAACAGAGTTCTTGGACTTGCATCTTTGCTGGACAACCTGATGAAGAATGTGCCTTTTTACTTTCGTCATCCTTCCTAACCATGTTTGTTGATCCTCCGACTTACCTGACAGATATAATCATGCAGTGGGATCTACTATGATATATTCAGAGCTTACAGACCATATAAAAAGTAAGTAAATGCTTCCTTCCTCTTGGTATGTGAAAGAAAAAACCATACACTGTCTGACTTATGGACTAACAAAAGGTTTGGTGGATCGATATACCTTAGACTGTTCTTGATGGTTTCCAATGATAAAAGGTTGTACTTGGTACCCACTGCATGCCTGCCAAAAGTGTATAAGATGGCTTTGCTTTTGTTCTTGAACATTCAATATCTTCCTTTGGTTTGCTATGTTTCTGTTTAATATTCGTCATTTTGGCTTTGAATTTGAATCACCGTTGTATTTTGTTTAAGGGTCTTTTTTTTTTGCAGTTCCAGGTCTGAAGATGTTCCGCCATGTTCCATTCAAATCGAAACAATTTATGTGTGGATAAAGATCCAAAGAAGGTAGGGAGAAAAAAGAAGAAGGTGAAAGGGTTGCCAAGACTTCTGTCGTAGACTTGGCTGAAAATGGGGTCAGACTTACAGGTAGAATCTTATCGTGGTATATATTTTTTTTCTTACAACTTCTCCTCTTTCGAGTTCCATTTTGCATAAGTTTCGAAGTTAAACAATCTAAAGTAATGGAGTAACTGAATAAATGACAATGAGATGTCTCATATTTTTCATTTTTTTTTTATCAATGACGATGAGATGTGCATGGCTTCTTTGTGGTATAATAATTGTTTGCAGTTACCTGTAGTTTTAACACCCTCCGTACTGATTCTTTAAAGTTTTTTTTTTTTGTATTTTACATGTTTTTCACCCCAATGTTGCACATGAGGATGAAGCTATTTATCAGAGACTGATTGTAATATATGTTGCAAAATTTATGTCTGATTATTTCTGGAAATGCCATGTTTCATAGGATAAAATGTTCATTTTGAAAGTTGGAGCTTGATTGGTTTCATGAGTATATTGAGGCTGCTGAATGTCTTTTTCTCCTGTATTGATGTGTACTAAGTAATTACCTTTCCAAATTGTTATCCTATGCTTTCCAGTAGAATTGCTCTTATTTCTATGCTTTCAGTCATTTCCATCCAAGTTGATATAGCTTAATTTATCAAGTGAAACTTTCTTTTGAATGAAACGAATCCTTTTTGTACCTTGAGACTCACAAAACGAATGAAGGCATTAATCCTCTATTATGTGGCTGTTGAAGACAATTTCAGGAAAAAAAGAGTGAACGATTCGGCAGAAGTGGCCGCTTTGGTCGCAATTCTTGGGCCTAATGATGGAGGCTTTGCGGTTGAAGTTGCGGGTCAGTTCTTTTTCTTCTTGTGTCCCAAATAATTTTCTTTCTTTGCACAATGTGAATCGGAAGTCGTATGCCTTTGAAGAGCTTTTAGTGCTGTCCTAACTTAGTGGGGGTGATAAACTTACATGCCAGTTGTTGTGCACTGGTGAAAAAAGTGGATTGGACCTGCATCTTTGCTGTATAACCTGATGAAGAATGTGCCTATTTTGAGTAATGGGTTCGAGTTTTTTTCTTTCTTTGGTATGGGCATGGCAGAGGGATGGGTTTCGCATGGGAGACGATGTCGTTGTATAGATGACTGTGACTTGTGCTGACGGGAGCTGGCATAATTAATGATTTATACTCAAATGTGAAAGTCTTTGTATTTTTTGGGTTAAGCTCTTGCCATGAAATTCTCCAAGGAAAACATGAATTACAGAGGACACTGTCCTCCCAAAGAAGAGAAGTTGGATCGCATTTTTCAGTTTAACAGACTATTATTTACTCTGTTGACCATGGAAGAGGTGTGCATTGTTATGCAATCTATATAGTTTTTACATCCTTGAACCGAGCATCTAGACGTGGACCGGAAACTTGAAGCGCATTGTTGATGGAACGAAGATTCATCGTTGCTGATGACAAATAATTACACAAGGGTGTGTCCTGAAACTCCTTAGCAGGTTCTAAATCTTTAGATTATTATGTGGTGATATAAATAATCATTGTATTATTGACTTTGTTCTTTGCTCAATAATTCGTTCACTCTTGGTTATTTTTGCTTTAGACCAGATTGAAATGTTGTAGGCGCAATCTCCTTGTCTAATAATTAGAATGACTTCAATAGTGTAATCAAATAATTCTTTTGGTTCATGCATATTGTGCTAATAATACTACTAATATTCATCAATTACGTTACGTCAATTTTCCTTTTACAGTTAATTACACTGTTTGGGCGCACTTAAAAAATTAGCAGGGTACTGTTTTAGAAAGAGCTTGAATTATTATAAATATGTACATATTATGCTAAAATGCACAAATTATGCTTCTTTATCATTCAAATCACGTAAAATAAAAATTGGCGCAATATTCTGTATTTGGTCTGACGGGTGTTTCCTTTATAAGTCATTATTAATTATGAAAAATTACACTAGCTCAAGGCACAAAATTTTGACAGCCCGGGCATGACCGACTGGTGTATTTCTGGGATATGTTTTCTTTTGGTGGTACTATCAGTCTTGCTATTGAATTACATTTTTGTATAATCGAATACATTGAAAAATTAGGACCGAAGAAGTTTTCATATTCTTTTGTACACATAAAGCCGGCTTATTATCAAGAGCTTATAATGAATAAGGTTACACGTCCTAGCAAATTTGCATCATTTCAATGCATTTGGGTGAGGTTACACATTCTAGGAAATCTGCACCATTCCAATGCATTCGGTTTCTCATTGAACCGAGCATCTATATAGTTTTTACATCCTTTTCAAAAATATATATAGTTTTTAAAAGATTGCATTCTACTTTAATCACGTATGTTTCAATAATCTCTTTCTTCATTGGTGTGTGAGGAAGGCATATATAGTTATGGTGTTACAGAAATTGACAGAGTGAAGATTTGTACCCTTGCAAGTTAGAATTGTGCACGCATATCTTTTTGGGATGTGAGATGTCCATGTTCACAAAAGCACTGATGTACTTCTAACGTTATTATTATTATTATTATTATTATTATTATTATTATTATTATTATTATTATTATTATTATACATTCAGTATCCAAATTACTCCGACTAATTTAGATTCAATAGGATAAATTTTCTTGAGGTGGTAGACGTTCCCAACATGTACTTTAATCGGAGCTTTATGCCCATGCTCGAGTTTGATCTTGGATTATACTTCCCCACTTTATTGTTGTATAAAAAATAAATGTCTCTTTCTGAAAAATCAGTGTATATTTAAACGTAATAGTTGATCATTTGTGTTTTTTTTTTTTTGTGCGAAAGAGGAGGCAAAAGTATAGATTTTTACATTTCGGGGATATACAACCCCTATTACATCATGTTTACCTAACGGTGGTACATCAAACCTTTGCAGACCTACCGGACCAGAAGCTGCTAACGAGGCTAAGTAGTCAGCCACCTGCCCTGGCAGTCATGTACACCACCTCCTCCACAACCCAACCCCACCTATTGATCATTTGTGTTATTAATAACAATAAAAGATGACAATCATATATACTTATGAATATAGTTCAATAAATAAGGAGTATATATACATTTATCTTATTCATAGTTTATATATTTAAATATTTAGATTTATTACTTTTATCAATGACGCCAATTTCTCAATTGAGAGCAATGTTGTTCATATTTTAAATTTCTTTGCGATTTAGACGTAAAACTAAATGTTAATTTTATTTTTGGGTTATAAAACATATCAAATATTTTTTGGAACCGTTACTTTTATCAATGACACCGATCGAACCCACAAAAAAAATTATTGGGTTGCCCGTGATTACACGGGATATATCTAGTTGCAGACTATACGATAATGATCATGTTATAATTATTTGGTTTACTTTAGTCAAAATTTGAGGACCGCAACACAATTTACTGAAGTTTTAGCCGATTGGTCCTAAATGTGGCACCACCTAATTGACTTTTTATTTCTATGTCCAATCTATATATAGACATATATGCAAAAATAGCTTTTTGATGGCGAGAAAGAGGAGTATTAAACGTTTTATCGTCTTATTTGATATGAAAAATTTGAGAGAAACAAAAAGTAATATTGCCTAAGAGATCGAACTAAGAAAATACATAAAATGTATCATGTGTTGCACGCGTAAAAAAAAGGAGAGATTACCCCTTTGGCCCTTTATATGTAAGTGGAATGGGATGACTGAATGTTTCCATTGCCAGAACCCAGAATTTATAAAAATCAGCTCACTAACTACACCTATGTTACCTGGACTCGGATACAAGTGTCATATCGGGTGCTGAATCTGAGTGTCTGACTCGTTAATATTTATATATTTTGGATATTTTAGGCTAAAATGTCATACCCGATTCTCATACTCATACCAATGTCGACACGACACCACACGGATATTTTCCCAAATAAAAGAGTCCGGGTAACAGAGAACTACGTACACTATCTTATTTGTCAAAAAAAAACAAAAAAACAAAACTATACTATCTTGCAGGGCATTTAGGTTTTATTTTTATTTTTTTAGTTTTTTGAAGGTCAAATTGTTTCTCTGGGAATTCAAGAGATGTAAATGGGAACATGAATCTTTTATTGATCACATTGATTGGGCAGTGGAAACATGAGACTGCAGCACTAATTACATGATGAATCACTCAAACAAAAATAACAAAAGTCATCCTCAAAACTACTAATGAACAGCTTTTGAACTAATGAATTTGAACAACAAATTTTGTTGAGGACAACTTTTTTTGCACTCGTACGAAAGATAGAGGGCCACCAGGGGAAGAAGAAGAAGAAAAAATCATCGTCTGCGGTGAAGATTTCTCAAGCCTTTGAATTCCATTTTGACGACCTTATTTTGGATACTCTTTTTGATGATGGTGTTTTGACTTCAGAGTCTCTTTCCCGGGTGGTCCTATTATTCCTAACGGTTAAAATGGCAAACTATCTAAACAAGATGAGCTGGAATAACTGGAATCTTATTCGTAATGTGGTGGTGGTGGAGAAGTGTAGACGTAGGCCGGTGGTGGTCCCTTAACAGCATGTGGTGGTGGTGGAGGGGACTTGTAGTAGTACGGTGGTGGCGGAGATGGAGAAGGTGGCGGAGGGGACTTGTAGTAGTAAGGTGGTGGAGGTGAAGGGGAAGGCGGTGGAGGAGACTTATAATAGTAGGGTGGAGGAGGAGATGGCGACGGTGGTGGTGGGGACTTATAGTAATAAGGCGGTGGTGGTGATGGTGAAGGTGGTGGGGGGGACTTGTAGTAGTAAGGCGGCGGAGGAGATGGTGACGGTGGTGGTGGGGATTTATAGTAGTAAGGTGGTGGTGGTGAAGGGGAAGGCGGTGGAGGGGACTTGTAGTAGTAAGGTGGTGGAGGAGATGGCGATGGAGGTGGTGGAGACTTATAGTAGTATGGTGGTGGTGGTGATGGTGACGGCGGTGGTGGGGATTTATAGTAGTATGGTGGTGGAGGAGATGGTGATGGAGGTGGTGGGGATTTATAGTAGTATGGAGGTGGTGGTGAAGGGGAAGGAGGTGGAGGGGACTTGTAGTAGTAAGGTGGTGGAGGAGATGGCGACGGAGGTGGTGGGGACTTATAGTAGTATGGTGGTGGTGGTGAAGGGGAAGGCGGTGGAGGGGACTTGTAGTAGTAAGGTGGTGGAGGAGATGGCGACGGAGGTGGAGGAGACTTATAGTAGTACGGAGGTGGTGGTGATGGTGACGGTGGTGGTGGGGACTTATAGTAGTATGGTGGTGGAGGTGAGGGGAATGGCGGTGGAGGAGATTTATAATAGTAGGGCGGAGGAGGAGATGGCGACGGTGGTGGTGGAGACTTGTAGTAATACGGAGGTGGTAGTGATGGCGAGGGCGGTGGAGGAGATTTATAATAGTAAGGAGGTGGAGGTGGCGACTTGTAGTAGTACACCGGTGGTGGATATTTCACCGGCGGTGGTGGTGACTTGTAAGCGTAAACAGGAGGAGGAGGCGGCGACTTGTAATAATAAGTCGGTGGCGGTGGTGGTGGGGACTTGTAATAGTAAGGAGTGGGAGTAGGTGGCTCAGGTTTGGAACATTCTTCATAAGGTGTCTTGGGAGCATAAGCAAATGGTTTAGCATAGAGCACAACTTCATATTCGGTCTTGGACTTGACCTTGAGTTTTGCACCCTTAATTCCCCAATGATAATTTGTAGGAATGTTGCATTTGGAGTCCTTTGGTGCCTTATGTAGCTTAGCAACACATGCCTCAGCTCCATACTTCTCGTAGCTAAATCCTTCAACTGTAATTGCATAGTTTCCATTGATCTTTGTTGTTCCGTATGCCACAATTTTCTTCGCGCCAGCCCAGCATGTTACTTCCACAACAGCTCCTATTCCACATTAAGAAAATTCATCTTTAATTTTAGTTTCGATTCGGAAAATAACAAAAAGAAGTAATTATGTCAAAGCTTAATTTCGATAGGACTAAGTCAACAAATTATAAGTTACGCAATAAGATATTAAAAAAAAATGGTATCTCCAACAACTATTCTGTCCAGTTTTCCATGAAGAATAAGGACAAATGTATTTGTCACGTGGCATTTTTTGTGACTTTATTAATCAATTACCAAAACAAAAAAAAAAAAGTTGATTCGGTACGCAACTAATGCTAATAAAAAATAACGTAGCTTTCCGACATCATTAACGAACCTTGTACCATGTACAAATATGAGCTTAATGATTAGTCAAATATGTCCAAACTTTAAATGGATATACTAACAAAATCATACCAAATAAAAATTGACTATCATGTTAGGAACCCACTTCACGTTTTCAAGTTTTCAGGTTAATATGTTTAGAATCAGTACAAAGTTGTTGTTTTCTTTCGTTTCTTTTTTTTTTTCTCACACCCCTTTGTGCATGGTAATTAGTTAGATGGTAGAGAAGAACATGCATACCTTTGAGATGTTTCTTGTCATGGGATTTAGTGGGGTAGTCCCAATCGTAGCATCTGTAGCAGTAGACTTTTCCGACAACTTTAACGACCTCGGAATGAGGGTAGTAAGGAGCTGGTGGATATTTCGTTGGTGGTGGCGGTGAAGTGTAATGGTACGGTGGAGGATAAGTCTTCACCGGTGGTGGCGGAGAAGTGTAGTAGTAGGGGGGTGGATACTTCTTTGGTGGTGGTGGTGGCGAAGTGTAATAATACGGTGGAGGATAAGTCTTCACTGGCGGCGGGGGAGAAGTGTAGTAGTAGGGAGGCGGGTACTTCTTTGGTGGTGGTGGTGGTGAAGTGTAATGGTAGGGTGGAGGATAAGTCTTGACCGGCGGCGGAGGAGAAGTGTAGTAATAGGGTGGTGGATATTTCTTTGGTGGTGGTGGTGGAGAAACATAATAGTACGGTGGTGGTGGAGACTTCTTAGGAGGCGGAGGAGAGCTGTAGTAGTATGGTGGTGGTGGTGACTTTACCGGTGGTGGTGGGGATGTGTAATAGTATGGCGGCGGCGGAGATTTCTTAGGTGGCGGTGGAGAAACGTAGTAATACGGTGGTGGTGGTGATTTTTTGGGTGGTGGGGGTGAGTGGTAATAGTAGGGTGGCGGGGGAGATTTCTTTGGTGGTGGAGGTGAAACGTAGTAATAAGGCGGTGGAGGAGATTTCTTGGGAGGTGGCGGAGAAGAGTAGTAGTATGGAGGCGGTGGTGACTTCACCGGAGGTGGTGGTGAGTGGTAGTAGTATGGTGGCGGAGGAGACTTTTTAGGCGGTGGTGGTGAATGGTAGTAGTAAGGAGGAGGAGGAGATTTTACCGGTGGTGGTGGGGAATGGTAATAGTATGGCGGAGGAGGAGACTTTTTAGGTGGTGGTGGTGAATGGTAGTAGTATGGAGGTGGTGGAGATTTTACCGGTGGTGGCGGGGAGTGGTAGTAGTAAGGAGGAGGTGGTGACTTTTTAGGTGGTGGTGGTGAATGGTAGTAATATGGAGGTGGCGGAGATTTTACCGGTGGTGGTGGTGAGTGGTAGTAATATGGAGGTGGTGGGGATTTAACCGGTGGTGGCGGGGAGTGGTAGTAATATGGTGGAGGTGGTGACTTGACCGGAGGTGGTGGTGAAGTATAATTGTATACGGGAGGAGGTGGGGACTTGTAGTAATAAACCGGTGGAGGAGGTGGAGATTTCTTTGGCGGCGGTGGAGAATGATAGTAGTATGGTGTTGGAGGAGATGGTGAGGGTGGCGGCGGAGACTTGTATTCATAAGGTGGTGGCGGTGGTGACTTGTACTTATACGGTGGTGGAGGTGGTGATTTGTATACATACGGTGGTGGTGGTGAAGGTGATGGCGGTGGAGGAGATTTGTATTCATATGGTGGTGGTGGAGGAGACTTGTACTTGTAAGGCGGTGGAGGCGGTGATTTATACACATATGGTGGTGGTGGAGAAGGTGATGGAGGTGGAGGAGACTTGTACTCATAAGGTGGCGGTGGCGGAGACTTGTACACATACGGTGGCGGTGGAGGAGGAGACTTGTACTCATAAGGTGGTGGTGGAGAGGAGTACGCATGAGAGTCAGCTGAAACCATTGAGGCAGCTAAAACAACCAATGCTGCCACCATCAACAGCCGACCCGTTGCCGGGCCGCCGCGGCGCGGAGCCTTCATTTCTCCCCGGAAACTCTTCCAAGATCCGCCAATGTAGAATCCTCTGAATACTATTTCAGTTAATCAAAGAAGAATTATTGAAGTTGTTAAGAAAAGCACTACAATGAGTAGTGCATTAGTTAAGAAGGAAGAAGTGACATAATTTGAATCCAATGACACAAATATTTATACAGCAAAAGTTTAGGAACACAAAAGAAAGAAAGAAAGAAAAAAAATAGTTGTTAGAGCAATAGCAGCCTTGGGACCAATTCCTATTTTCTTTGCATTTCTTTATTTGAATTTCATTTTGTTTTAGTGTTCAAAAAATTTTGTTCAATAATGCACTACTAGCTTCCAGCTGGAAAGATGTAATAGTAGTAGTAGTAGTAGTCATAGTTTGATTTTTCAATCTTTTAGAAGCTAGTCACCTGCTACATTACAATATAATTTAACCGTGCAAGATTATGTTCTAGCAGTCGCATGCTATCTAGTCTAGTTGTGTACAGTTCTTTTGATAGTTCCATTTTGCTTCCTAAAACTTTGAAATAATTGGTTGTCTGGTTCTTACCGTGCACCTTCTCTATGAATACTGAAATCATATAATTCGTCCCTTCCAGAAAAATAATCACATTTATAAAAGTTTTAGTTCCACAAAATAAAATAAACTGTATGAGAACACATTACTAAGATAAACAGAAAATGGCGCTAAATGCCACTCTTGGGATAGGTATTTTTGGTCTCCTTAAATTTTTAAGACGTTATTTTCAATTTTTTTATTTTTTTTAAAGTGATACACATTCCTAACAATCTAGAATCAACTAATGCGTACAACACAACCATATTAACCTTTACTCGACCTGATGAAATTTGAGTCGATCATTCCCAATATTTAGTTCCAATATTTTTTTTTAAAAAAAATAAATTAATAAATGTAGTGTAAGTTTCCCTCCAAGAGGGAATGGCTAGCTGCAGTTTTCATCTTACGTTGTTTTGCAATATATCATGATTTGTGATATCATCTCCATTTGTGCACTTCTTTTGTAGCAAAATAAAACAAATTGTCATGATTTATTTGATGGAGGAGTAGTTGGCAATTGGCATGCTCTAGTGACTATTTCCCTTTATTTTCATGTTGAAGTTCATTCGGGGAAGAAGGTGCCTTGCTTCTAGGATGATAACTAATTAATTAATTATTCCAAAACTAAATTAAATAATAATAGATGGAGAGAACTAATTAACTACTACTACGATCTTGACAAATCTTTTGAAAAGAATGACTAACTTCAACGACCAAGACAAATCCTAAATCTACCTAATGTGAGAAATTAAGTATTAAGCACAGCCTGCTAGTTGTAACAAGTGGCATAGTGTTAAGATAAATTTATTTAGATAATGTAATATGATGTGTTGTAACTTGTAGGTACTACTAAGATACACATTATATTGTCTTTCAAAATTAAGTTGATCCATTTATATTCAATATATTTCATTTGTCCTTTAAAGAAACAACCCAATCTACTGATGAAAACATTCCATATATTCTTGTCCCAAACAAGAAAATTGCATTTGTAAAACTGAATCAGTATAACAAATTTTATATTTTTCTTTAGGCGAAACAAAAAATATTTTTCTACCATTTCTTTGCAGAGTAAATAATCCGGCCGGGGATTTGTCAAAAGATTACCCATTGTGAATGAATGTTCTAACTTCTATTTTTAACTAATGCATCCGATGACAGAATTATTTTTAGGAAAGAGTTGCTTCTTTTTAGTCTTCTTCTTTCGCTTAAGAATGTAGACATGATCCACCAACACTTGGCCAAAGTGGTAAGGTGTTTTGATTCTCTAAAGCGAGACTTTAGGTTCGAGTATCGCGAGTGGAAAGAACAATATTAGAAGAGCTTTCCCTCCGAAAGGAGACCGACCCGGTTCGATACGAATTAGTTTGAGTGTAATACACTTAAGACACGGTGAAGAACATGAAAAAAAGAATGTAGAGCTGATCGGTCTCGTACCTAATATTGCCATTATGAACCGAATAAATTGGTTAGTTTACAGATTTTCTTAAATGTAATGTCAACTTCCAATCAGTTCTTTTCTGTACATTTCGAATTTTTCTTTTTACACTTCCAACATAATAATATTTTACCATTCTAGCAGTAGGGAAAACAACACGGGTTAAAACACGCCTTATATATTGACAAAATGAAAGTTTTTTAAGGATTTCTTTATTTTTTTTTCTTTATTCTAAGAGCTGTAAATCAGGAATATGTATATGGATTGTTTGGTGGTCAATTTTAAGACGATAAGCTATTAACCTTGACCGAATTCAAAAAAATTTTTAAAAAAAAGAAACAAAAAAGTGTCGATTGTAATTTTTATTTTTTAGCCGTCCCAGCTCGCAGCCCACATTGCTACCAATAGTTAAGGAAATTAAATTCTTTTAGCTGCCGGCAAGTTTAACTAATGTACGCTACTATGAGTCAGCACAATGGAATCAAGTTCTGTTCATCACTTTCATAATCTAGTTGTACACTGCACGGACATTATTCAAATATATACTCCCTCTGTTAAAAAAAAAAAAGAAGTCGACATTAAATTTTAAAATTTGTAATAAAAAAGAATATAAATTTCAAAATTCAATGTCAGACTTTTTTTTTAACACAAAGTAAATAATAAACAAGTTTGATCAAATCATGATTTTTATAAACCACAATTAATTACCCCTTTACTGTACGTGGCCTCGATGTCTCAAGGTCATTCGTTACAATTCATTCTCGATCTTCTTGTTTCTTGAAATTTGTCATATATCTTGTTAATTTCGAAGGAAAAGTTCTCAAGTTCTATGAATTCAATCGAAATCCTAATACATAACTAACGCATGGCTCTTACAGAACAAATGCATATTTAGGGGTAAAAGTATGAAGAGTATTATTAATATTTGGCGGGTGAAATTTGAAGACATAAAAATGAAAGATATGTTTGGATCGTGTTTTTTAGTATGTGTTTTTAGGTATATTCTCTATTGAGAATATAAAAAAGTGTGTTACAAATATAAAAAGATATGTTAGGACGGAATATTTATTAATAAAATAATATGGAAAAAAACCATGGAAAAAGGGGGAAAAAACCTGTTTAAGCATGCTTATACACTGGTGCTTTAATTGCTTGTACTTTGGAGAGATGACAAGCCGTCGTCACACTAGTCAAATAATAAGTACCTACTTAATACAATTACTAGTAGTAAAGTAGCAAGCAGGGTCGATCCCACAGAGAAGGAATACTAATTACCAAGTATAAATTACTCTTATTATTATCTAGATAAATGATGATCTCAGATTTATAAAATTTAAAACTAAAATAAATAAATAAAATAAAAGAAAATAATATTAATTCGAATAATCAGACAAAGAAAACCTAGGACATTGGGTTCACCTACCGAATATTTGGGTTAGTTCAGTTCATAAATATTTGACTTTTAACTTCCATTAATCTCACAACGATTCACCTAATTAAGAACTATACACTCTCGCGCTATAATTCTCTTACTTAGGTTAACCCTATGACTACTCTCGTGACTATAGGGATTAACAAAAGTACATTAAGACCATTAAGAATCAAATATTGCAAAGGTTATAATCTTTTTTATTATTCCTACGAACTAATACTAATCTTCCACTTTCGCTACTTCGATTAATATCTTCAGACATGCAAATAGTGGCCAATTACTTACACGAATTAAAAAAAGAATAACAAATATTAATTAATGAAAAAATCAAATAATAATTAACCAAATAAACTAAATAAATTCGGTGGCTATACCCAAGCCCTAGATTAAAAGAATTTAGCCACTAAACATTATCAAAAATAATTCATAATATTTAGAGACATAATAAAAGAAAAAAATAAATTAAATAATTAAAACTTCGAAACCCGAATGACCCCAAAAACCGCCAAAACTCCCCGACGGTTGCTGCTCGCGGCTGCTGCGTGGCGAAAAAGGAGGAGAAGCTGCTAATGATGGTGGTACTCGGCGGGGAGTTGATGTTGCAGCGGCAGAGGAGGCTGTTGCGTGGGAGCAGGGTGGCGGTCGGCGTGGAGCTGGTTTTGATGTGAAGGTGGTGTTGTGTCAAGGATGATGGCTGCATGGTGGAGGAGATGGCTGCGTGGTGAAGGAGGAGGGAGTTTGGTGAAGGTGGAAGAGGGGGAAGGTGGCTGCCGTTGGTGCGAAGTGGAGAAAGAAGCAAGGTGGCGGCTTCGGTGGTGGTGCTGCGCGGCGGTGATGAAGCAGAGAAGGTGGTTTGCAGCCGTAAGGTTTTCGGCTAGTTTTCGGTTCAGTTCTGTTGTAAAAATAAATCCCTAATCCTTCTTTTATAGGGTTCTGGCTAAACCCTACTTCTTGGAGAGCAAGAAAACTTGTTTCCCAAATAATATCGGGATTAAAATTCTTATCCAATTCCAATCCCAAATCAACCGTATAACCATAAGCTTCTCGGCCAATTTTCCAAAAACAAGAACATTCCAAAATTGCATCATTGGCTCTCCAATTCTCTAAACTCATTAATTTCTTCCCCATCAATTGCTCCAATCTTCAATTCTTTCTCATTGAGTTGCTTTTAATTCGATTTTAGCTCAAAACTTCAACAATTCTTCATTTGAGTACAATTCCTACAATTAAAGATAAAATCACATAAATAGCATATTTGTGCTCAAAATATATTGTAAAAATCACAAATTAGGGATATAATAAAAAGGTAAAATATAAGCATATCAAATACCCCCAAACTTGAATTATTGCTTGTCCTCAAGCAATCCCAAACATTAAACAAACAAAAACATTTAATTATTTAATTTGGCGGCCTCAGAGATTCAATCACATCATATAACACAAAGATTTCGACTACCTCTAGTATGGACTACCTAACAATGCAAACCATAGCTACTTTTAGCCCCCACGCTTGTGTGTGTGCTTCGTTTCTTAGGGACATCACTTTACATTCAACATAGAAAACAAAAGCTCTACTGCAAATATGCCATTTTACTTTAACAACAGACTCACATTTCATACCATATTTCAATGCAATGGACCGCCAATCATACTATGAAGTAAAAGGACTTATCTCACAGACAACCTATTCCCCCTCGTAACCCATTCTTCGGTCCATGCGGCTTTTCTTCAGGACTTTTTCCAACTCAGGCCACTACCCAGAGCATTTTTCCACTCCTATACATAGTGGCTCAGCAACTTAGGGCAGTCTATACATCTATTTTCCTCACCGGGCCTGAGGACTCTCCGCTCAG